AAAAATACAAAAATATGAAGAGCATCTCGTTATATTCACAAAGAGGATTGGCTGCCTGTCAAAAATGCTAAAAAAATTATTCATTCTAAAAATTAAAAATAAAATCATTGCGATTACTGCGCATTTAGTTGGAATTTTGAAATGTCTAGCAATCTGAAAGATATTTACCTGGTTTCCCTTTACGTGTAACGCAAAATTTGTTTGTTTTCTTAAAAAAAAAAAAAATAATAAATAAATAAATAAAAATTATTCATTAAGGTAGCAATGCCCCAATATTTACATAAATTGAGTTATTTTATCTTCCTTCCTTGTTAAAACTACAAAAGAAGAGCATTTGATTAATTGCAATTCACTAGCAGGGTAGATAGTCATTTGCAGATATGATTTGGCAGATTTCGATGTAAATAATTTATAAATATATATATAAAAATTCGACTAATTATTCGTGGTCTTGTACCTTGCGAATTAATTCATCATGACTTAAATTCGAAAAGAAGTTTAAAGGCATTTATAAAGATCGGAAATCGATGGACTCTCTATACAATCAAATTGATAATAAATGCTACAAATAATTGTCTCGATGAAAAAGATTTTGATCTTTAAATCTCATAAGAAAAGTTAAAAAATTTAAAATTTTTAAAAAAAATGTGTCACATAAAGCATTTTTAATTATAACGATTTTAAAACAATAATAGTAAACTAATAAAATTCAAAGGGTTTATATTTTGAATACGTTTTGTTAAATGTATACACCAAATATTTAAATATTAAAAAAATGCTAAAACAAGCATTTATACTTAAGTTATAATAGAACCAGACGCTTCAAACTATAGTAACTATGATTGAATAAGCTAATATCCTTCCTTCTGTTTTAATTAACCCAAGTTCTAAAAAACCGAAACTTAAGTATATAATTGTTCGTAATCTGCATGATCTCTGGTTTTAAAACTTCAATAAGCAAACGAATAAATTATAAGCGATGTACATGCATCTTTAAGCAATATACAACATAATATTAGTTTTCAAAGCTAAAAAAATTTTAAAATTTAAAATAAACTGCTTTTAAATTATCAATACTGATTACTCGGGTATGTCAGAAAAAACCGGATTCGAATCCAGGCGATGACTGACTATCAATACGAGTTCCGCACCCGGCTCACACCGACCACAGAGCTGGCGTCCTCATTAGTAGACGGATCATGGGTTACAGTCCCCTTGCCGTCAGACTAACCATGGAAGGTTTTCTCACCGTGTAACGCAAATGCGGGTTAGTTCCATCAAAAAGTCCTCCACGAAGGCAAATTTCTCCTAATTCATGATCCAGTAGTTCCCTTGTCTTCTGTATTGGGTTCAAAATTGTTCCCTTGTCTTCTGTATTGGGTTCAAAATTGCAAGGCCACGGAGTTGAAAACTAGTAGTCGTAAACTCAATATTTGGGTCGCCTGTTCAACTATAGTTTGTCTAAAGTAAGAACTCCCCAAGCCATTTGTCTGGACCCATGAAGGGGTGACTATGGTAACGAGGTATAACTATTTTAAGTAGGGGTATGTGGTCACTGTTTAGGAAAAGTTTTTGCTCGGGTCGGAGAGGGAAAGGTAATCGTTTTCTTCAGTCTACTGTGTTAGACCCTGAAATGCGCTATTCTTGTTTCCATTGCAGCAGACGGCCTCAGACTTTGTGGCGGGGGGAGTTCTTACCGTAGACAAACTATATGGTTGTAAAAATAAATAAATAAATAAAAATAAATAAATTAAAAAAAACGGGAAAAGTGAGAAGTCTTTATCCTCTATATTAGTCTCTGATCTTAACGGATGTGAGAAACAACTTAAACACACGAGAAACAAGTTAATTATTAAACAATTAAATAAATTTGATTGTTTGAACACATTAACATATTGACTGTATACATGGTAAAACTGCAAAGACTCTTGAAAATCAAAGGCTTTGTAGAAAGTGAGAAATATCAAAGAGGAAATTAAGCTCGCTTTCAAATTTTTTGTAGTTTCTTAATTGATCGAACAATTTTGGAAAAATGTGTTGAATTGTTACTGTTATTCAGTTATTTATTCATGTTATTCAATTATTTATTATGTTTTTTCAGTTAGTTATATTATCTCAAAAAAGTTGGACTCTTTAAATTCTATTTTTCAGGAACAATTGAACCGATTAAGCTCAAATTTTGTATTTTGCCATACAAAATTGCATTGTTTAAAATGATGTAAAAAATTTTATTCATTACACTTTGAAATTTATTCAACGATTCTTAAATTAAATAATAAATATTTACTAAAAGTTATTTTTTGCATGGAATTATCTTCGGATAAAAGAATTTTATAAATAAGAGAAAATTTTTTCAATTCGCTTAAAAAAATCGCGAGACATAGCGAAACACTCAAAAAGTAAAATTAACATTAAGGGGTCCAAACTTTGCAGTACTCTCGTGACCGAACTATTGGGACCATATTTCCCAGATTGCGGCTACCCCCATATTCTTTGATCCGAATCCATCCGTCAAAAAAAAAGGTATATTAATTAATAGAAAGTACGTTTTTGTGTCTAATTTCATATCTGAAAATATCGTCTACACTTATGAATTAGAATATTTGAGGCTACCTCCTCGAACTATTAAAATTGAGTCTTAGAACGTGCAAAACCGATTATTAGATCAAAAGTTATTAATGGCAGTTCGTTTTTTTCTTTTCTTTTTTTCTTTTTTTGCGCACTGTTAATTATAGGTAATACAATTTGAAAAATAATTGTTACTTCTTTTTTATAAGCCTAGTGTAGTCGTTCAAAAAATAACTTTTTAAACATATTTTTTTGTAAATTATAGCTATTATTGCAGTATTTATATCACAGAATATAAAATATTTAAATATTTTGTACAATAATACAAGAAGGCCGATGAGCAATTAAACTAAGATAAAAAGGATTTTTTATTCATTTTCTAAAAGTCTTTATTTATATTGTTGAATTTTATTTTAATATTTATTTTTTATAATTTAATATAATAACGAAAATTAGACAACTTGACTTGTCTAAGAATCAGATGAAATAATAAAACACGGTTCTTTTAATTATAAAAAAAGAAGAAAAACATAAGATAAATGGGTAATTAAAAAATTTTCTAACTTTTTAATTGATATATTTTATTGATATATTAATTGACATATTTTTGATATATTTTAAAAGCAAAAATTCCCTTATACGTATAAATTTAATTAATAATAAATCGCATGCATATTTATCACACTTACGTGTTGTGCTGATAAAATTGTTACGCAATTTGATAATTTGTATAAAAGACTTTTGGACAATCTGCAAGATCGTTTTGGACAGAATGGTTTAAATTACTGTTTTTTAAATTTTGTCTACCCTGGGTTAAATACTTTCTAAGATGTTCTTATTTTGTAAGAACGCGTCATTTCTTACGAAACGCTGCCTTAACACGAAAATGTACTCCCTAATTTTATTCCAACGCACTTGAAACTTATTTTTCCTTTCGTTAAAATAATTTAAATCTAATATAGTTATTTATTTCTGATAAGTTTATTTAAAATAATCATCCTTCACTGTAAAAATAATGGGTTTTACGAAGCAGCACTAAAGGTGCAAGTATTTTTTCCGTAATTTGATCCGGAATTTTTAAAGCATAGGTAAAAAAAAAAAATTAAAAAAAATTTAAAAAAAAAAAAAAAAAAAAAAACAGAAATACATAGAATCAAAAANTATTTTACAGTGACCAATACAGCAACAAATGATAGAAATACATAGAATATAAAATTTAAAGATTCTGATTTTGTGCTATACCTTTTCTTTTTGGAAACACAATATTATAAAAAGTCTGAAGAGTTTTAGTATTAATATTTCCATTCATTATTCTTTCAGATATATTTAAAAAAAATTGTAAACACCTACACCATTTATTATAAAAACGAGTTTTAATGTTCATTTTTTTTATTCAAGAAAAATATTAAGGGTTTAATTTCTTTTGATTATTCATTAAAATCAATTATTTTCAGTTAAATTGCTATTAACAATAGCATAAGATTTTAATTTTTATGTCTAAATTTCACTTTTTGCTTAAAAATATCACATATCCTTCTAATATTGAAGATTTCTTTTTATATTAATTGCGAAAAATATAAACGTTTCAAGGTGAAATTTGTACAATAGCACTAACACCTGGTTTCTTTATCCATTGTTTAACCCATAATGATTGGTTAAAGTCATTAATAATTCCGGTTTAATAATGAAGCTTAACAAAGAAGAATGGGATGATTTTTATTATATTTCTGGAACAAAGGTGTTTAAAGGCAGTAAAAAACTTCCAGTGGAGTTTTATTTATTTTATTATTATTATATTTTTTGCCTTACATGTTGTAAGACAGCGTTTCTCAATAAGAGAATTCTGACTATTACATATCCTAGATATGGCCGTGTTAAAGTCACAACGGGATTAGTTTTTTTTTCCTTCTTCTTCTCTTTCTTTTTAATTTTCCTTTTTCTTCCACTTTAAAAAGTGTAAGTACACTCAGTGTAAATATTTTATTCTATCTATGCCAAATTTGATACAAATCGAACTCTTATTGTTGCTAATTTAATTTCTTTAAATATTTATTTATTTATATGTTTATTTATTTATTATTATTATTTTACTTCACGAATGATATCGTTTTGTCTCATCATTTATAAAAGAAAGGAAAAAAGAAAAATGAGGTAGAAAGGGGGAGAAAAAACAGGAACTTTATCACGCCCATATGCTTACATATTTAATTCGAGAACTATGAATAGTACAGTTTTATGAAAGAGGACATTTCAATATTCGTCACTTGCACCTTGATGGTGTTTTCATTAAAATTCATAGAAATTTTATGACTTTATTTCTGTACTATTAAATTGAATAAAATATTTAAAGCCTTCTACAACTTTTTGTTAAATAACCGCCATTACGAGAAAATCAATCGTGTAACTTAAAGTCAAAAAGCATACAAAATCAATCAGTAAAAAAGTATATATTTATCCATATTATTTACAAATAAGTACATAAGGCATGTTTTGGTTTTAGGTAAAAGTTGGCACTTATCACATGTATAAATATAAAGTAGAATTCATTATTTTACAGTGACCAATACAGCAACAAATGATTCCTTTACCCTTTGACGCAAATGAGTCACCGTTGTCCCTTTCATATAATTTTTTTCTGATGTTCTATTTACAATCAAAAATATATTTTGGTATTTTTTAAATTATAAAAGACAGTTTGATAGTTACTGAAAAAATCTGTTACATTATTAGATTCTATTTATACTAAAATATAAAATCCAAATAAGAAGTAGTTTGAAAATAATTTTTTTTTCTTTCAAATTAAAAAATTCATCAATAATTGATTTTATAAATTAAGGAAATTTCAATGATGAATAACTGTTTTTCTTAGATCTAGATGACTGCAAATAAGTGCAAATTTGAAAAATTGTTATTTGGAAGCGAGCCGTGTTTGGAAGATTTTTTTAACGCAGAAAAAGACGCTGGCGTTTCATGTTTATTTCGTTACTATAAATTATTAAAATGCTACTGACTATTATATTTTTCACTAATTTTGGCCTAAATTAAAACACAAAAAAAAATGAAAAATATGTTTCTTGAAATTCTGCATCTAAGGGTTAAAGGAATGTCAATGTGCATGAAAATATAGTTTTTATACAAATGTACCATCTTTAACTAAATTTTACTCACAATTCAAAATTAAACATTTTATATGATTGGTTACTCACAGCAAATTCATCGCATTCCTTAATGCCAGAAAAAAAAGAATACTAAATCTAAAATAAATTTATCACAAAGGAAATCATTGATCAATAGGGAATGTCAAAGAAACGTTAATTTTTGGAACCTAACAGAACTAATTTAATTAAATGTCGTAGGATATCAATTACGTCTCTTATAAAGACAATAATAAAAAAAATTATAATAATTTGCTAACAATTTATCAAATTTTAAATACTTTTTATGCTGAATATGATTATGATTTAAAAGGAAAAACATTTCTGCTATACAATAAATGCTTGGACAAAGCCAAACATTTCAAAGATTTAGTCAGTAATCAGTATAAAAAGCTGGTCAAGATTTTACGTAAAATTTAATAATAATGCTTAAAACATTTTATATTTTCCTTTGCTTGCTTATTCGTTTATCTCGCTTGTTTAACGCTTTTATTTTCAGCATTGTGTTTTAATTCCAAACATATCTACATTCTATATCTACACCCATTATTTTTTAAATTAGTTAGTTTAAATTTGCAAGAAAATACAATTCAGTTAGCATTTATTTTTTTCAAAACATTATGAGCTTTGTAGAAAACTTCATTATTTACTTTCAAACATTTAAATCTAAGCATGAATACAAAATTTTTCCAAAAATAATTTTGATTATTTGGTTGGCTATTATCATTTGATCCAGCAGATTTGGAATTGATCGGTAAAAAGAATTTTTTTCATTCGAAAGCCAAATTATCGAATTCTTAATTTCCATTGACTAGAGACAAAAACAGAATTTTTTAATTTCTACGTCTGATATACAATCCGATTGTTTACCATATTCATTGATTCTACTAATATCATCAATAACTTTACATTGACTAATTGCATTAATTGTAGTACAGCGAACAGTTGCTTCAAACATTGCCTGACTAGGAGAAGCAGACACTATTAGAAGATAATTGTAACTGAATTGTTGAGACTTTGTTTCTAACATGCTAATGTTTACATGGTCCATTGATCCATCTGTTACACGCGCATCAAAAATTTCATCCAGTACAAGTGTAGAACACTTTTCATATACCCGTGTCCAGTTATTTACGGTATCAATCACAGTTTCAGCAGCTTTTTCTACAATTGCATAGCTCTTAGATATAGGCTTTGAGACTTGGCAAGTGCACCAATGGGGTGAAATTCCAGCTTCTGAACATGTTCTATTGGCGGGTATTTCATGAAAAAGGCTAAGTCCAGGACTAAGCTTTGAAATAGAGAAAGTAGTCTTTGACATCATGCTAGCTAAATGAAGGATAGTAGAATGTATATCATAAGGAGAAGTCAAACGCTCGCTGTTGATAACTAAGTTTTTGTTAATAGTCGGATTTTGCTTTAGAAACCATTTTGGCATAATTAAATGCATAAACGGCAATCGTTCTTCGTATTGACCAATACGAGTTTTTCGTATGTCCCCATAACGGATTCCGTGATCGCTGAAAAAAACTAGCATTGTATTATCTAGAAAATTATTTTCATTTAAGTGTTTCAATAACTGATAAGTCGGCTCATCGGCATACCCAGCAAAGTTGAAAACATCGTGTGTTAAGCGTGCCAGAAATGAAAAAGCAAAGAATGGACGGGTATTATTCATGGTGCCCAAAAAGCTCTTTAAATAGTCATATATTACCTCCATTTCCATTTTACTGCCAAAACACTGCTTTTCTCTTATATCAGACTTTTCAACAGCTAAAGCAAAAGGTCTATAATAATAATCAGTTGGTGGACTTTTAAAACCGTTTCGGTAATAGTTAAACGTGGCAATGTCGGGAGCATCTTCAGCAAGTAATGTTCGATATCCAAGGTCAGCAAAAGCTTTCCAAGAAAAGTCTACATCGTCAAAAAAGCGATTTTTTCTAGCATCATCATAATAAAATTGATAAGAATGCCCTGTTAATAAAGGTACTAAATTTGGAAAAGTGTTATCACCTACTTTATTATAACCGTTCATCGTTATAGGAGATAAATACTTTGTTAGGTAATCTTGGCATTTTGGAAAATGGCGTATGAAATTTAAATGAGAAATTGAATCGATTCCTATAAACATAACATTCACAGGCCTTTGAGCTTTTAGCTTTGATTGATGATTCAAACAACGTCTCTCAACTGAACTCTTCAAAGGAGTTAAAGGAAGAAATTCACTAAATACTCTATCATTATCATCAAAATGGCACGTTGTTTTTATGAAATCAATCCCTAAAGGTTGATCCCACACTAAAGTATGAGATTTTGATAAATTAACACGATTGTCAATGTCTTTATCAGTAACTGTAGAATTCCTTTGTATTTCTTGAAAAGTACAATGCACTGATTTTAAGTCTACTTCGTAATAATATTCCAACAGGGCTTCTTCTAAACTTATAACGCTATTTGGAAGAACTCTTAAAAAAGACAAAGGTCCGGAACACTTGTAGGGAGTAATAACACGCTTAAATATTGATTGGACAGAATCGTCCCATGGGTTCCATGCAGGAATTTGACAACCTGAAGTATCAATTAAAAATGAACTCACAGTATCATCAGCAAAAAAATGAGAATACGTTTTATCTTCGGAATACTCGAATCGAATGTAGAATATAACTAGAATTCCACAAAAGATGAAACATGCCACGAACAAAGGGTAGGGACGATATAGAATCTTCCTGGATCGCATCTTGTTTATCCTGCAAAAAAAGGAATTTTAAATCGAAAAAAATCTACTTAGGTTGCGATTGTATAATAAATTATTTACATAATTGCTTAGATAGTACACAGAAATGAATGACATAAATGCGAGATATAGTTTATTTTTAAAAAATGGAATGGTAAATTAATATAATATAATTCTCGACCCTGTCAATGCTTTTCAGCTATTAGACTGGGATGTCCTAGACGGTTTTGGCAAACCATTTTGTGGGGGGGGGGAGGTGTTGATATTCGAATCCTGCTCAGAGCATCGATGTTTCTCTCTGTGTGTTGTCCTCTGTTGTGTGTGATGTGTGAATGTCGCCCAACCTATGAACGGGTATCTGTGGCAGTGTGGCGTGGGTAATGTTTCTCGCCTTCGTGACTTTGGTCACAAGGTGCTCACCAGGTAACGCAAAATGAGCGACACTTCTGACACGTTCCATGGCGAAGAACGATAAGTTCAATGGCTGCCGTTAAAGAAAATGCATTCCGTAGGAGATTGAATGTGTTGGCCCTTGACTGCTTGCTTCATCTTGTCCAACAATGTGTAGCCCAAGGGCCTTGCTCATCACGATCAAAACCAATACGGCTGCTACACTTGCTGTTGTGTGCGGAATCGCTGCGAGTCCCACTCTGACAATTTAGACAACAGTTTCCACTCTATAGCGTTAGACGCTACGCCCTGAAGGTGCTTTGGTCTTGCACATAGACACCATGTGAGGATGAATCTGTATCCAAAACTTACAAAGAAACGACGCTGTCTAATTCTTCCATCATCCCTCAATAATGACGGCGAAAGGGATTAGCACAATCCCCTACCGTTTACTAATGGCCAGCCCCCTCTATGCATTCTGTGTTTGGTCCTAGCGTCTATGGATGGGGAACTAAAAGTACACAATAGAAAGATTTTACATAGCATTTTTCGTACGTTAATCATACGAACCTTATTTCCTAAAACTTTGCGATAGTACAATTTGTTGGGAAATTTTTGGCCATGCGATGGGAAACTCGAACAACGATAACGTTAGAATTAGGGGAAACCTAACATTTTGCAAAATATATCTTTACATGATTCTTAAACTGGAAAGGAATTTTAAAAATTTCCGGAGAGATTGTGAGCAAGTTTGATATTCTCAGAGATTTTATTGTTGATATTTGTATTTAAATTGGCATTCAATTTTATCATTCATAAGATTTATCTGCATTTTATGAATTCTTAAAGGTCATGAGCCATACATGATTAAAGGAAGTTAATATCACGGCATAAATTAAATATTAAGAGTCTTCCTCTTTTGAGTGTTATCTAAAGTTTTTTATGCTTCCAGCTAAAGTTAAATGGATTTTCTAATTGAATAATAAATAGCACAAGTCATATTGTAAACAACACAAGTAAATTAACATTAGAAGATGGCGTGCTTTTTAAGCTTAGGCGTAAATAAAAATCGGTAGGTAAGTACTTTATTTACGTCGCACTAGAGCAGCACAATGGGATATTGGCGACTGTCTGGGAAACATCACTGAGGATGATTCGAAAGCATGCCATCGCAATTTTAGATCCTCAGCAGAGGGGATGGCTTCCCTGCTTTGGTTGCCCGATGACACGCGCGAAGTCGAGAACTTTACGGTAGAACAGTTCAACGAGGACCGATACCGGGCACACTGGATCCCTACGCAGACTGATCAAAGTGATCACCCACCCACTTACTGGCCGCAGCCAGTGATGCTTGATTTCGGTGTTCTCATAAATAAAAATCGGAAGTAGTAACTCAGAAGTTTTATTAAAAATATTAACCTTTAGCGCCTCTTGCACTTAATTTTATATGGTTCTACCTACATTTTACTGTCGTATCATGTATAGTTTCACTGTGAGAGACAGGGTCATTCATATCTGTTTGGCCCTGATACTTATAAAATCACATTCAAATCTCAATTTCGGTAGATATTTTAGGCTGTAACTCGATATTTACCACTTGATTGCGGTATTTTCACACTCGTGAAAACAACCTTGCAACCTTGTCGTCCCTAGGCCTTGCCTGCTCCGGGAACCAGATGAAAAGTATCTCTTTTACCCGGCCGGTTCCACGTTTCCACTAAAAATTTTATTTGTTACCCGATCGATTCCGGGGCTAAAAAATTTAGGATATGGCTGTTTGGATGCAAAATGATTCATGTAAAACTTTGCTTTTAAATGGAGACATTTGCCAATAGTGGACTTTATAATTAATTAATTCATGATAATAGTTATTTATATTGATATTTTAATAAAATGACCGTATATTAAACGAAAATTGTTTTAACTATCAGGGTTTATTTTTAAACATCCGATAGCCATGAATGTTATTTAAGTACAAGAAAATCTACCTTAGAATAATTTCTTAAACTTTCCGATAGTTGGTGAATAATTTTATCGTATCAATAAAGTTTAAATCAAATATCGATTTCACTGTCCTTAATGTTACGATTCTATCTCCGTATCTTAGTAATTTACGAACCTCCAAAAGCAAAAAAACAAGGGGCAAATTTATATAATCAACTAATAAATTAAATATAAAAAAAATCCTATGAAACTGACGCGTATTTGTGTTACACGGAGAAAATAAACCCATGAAAACCTCTTTGTGATTAGCCCGACGGATAGAGAACTTTAATAAGACTGGTTGACAATTGAATTTATTGAGTTAACGAGTAAAAACAAGTACACTCCCTCATAAAAATTTAGTTTAAAGTAACGAATGGTCAGCTTTATTAATTTTACGTGGTTCTTTTCAATGTAAAAGGCAATCAACTGACGCTAAAAATGTAAAACAATATTTCCAAATAGTTTTTTGCTGAGTTAGTAAAAGATTTTTTGTTTTTAAATAAACACTACATTCAAAAAATTTATTTAGAAATTTTTGTTAAAAAAATTACTCGGTTTTAACATGTGCTTTTATTTACTATGAAATAATTCTTAAGTAACAGTATTAGAACAGTTAATGAGTAATTTGGGAGAAAATATTTATGCTGTGCAGTTTATGGTCGTTACGTCGGGCTACTTAATTGATCAGTGCGGAAGTCTTCTCTCTTCTAGAAGGTGCTACTATGATTGGGGTGTCGTAAGGTAAAGAACTATAGCATATGAGTGAGTATTTATAAAATTATGTAAAAATTCTATTAAAATGTTTGTGTTAATGAAAGTATGAGATTTTTGAAGAAAAAATTGTCTCTTAATTTGAATTTATATTCTGATAAATGAAGATAAAATTATCAAACTCTTAAAATGTAAATAAAATTACTTGCTAAATTTGTCATAGAAACTTTTGAGAAGCTTGCATCTTCTTAAATTTTTGTTCTTTTTATTGAAAACCGCAGGAAATAAAATTTTTTTGTTTTACCCTTACATAACATAAAAAGCTAAAATATTAACTATGCACTTTGAAGAAAAAATAAAATAGAAAAATATTTAAAATAGAAACAACATATAGGAGATGGTGAAAGAAAATAAGTTCCACAATAGAAAATAATTTGCACAATCATTTACAGTAGGAAAGTAATTAATCTCATAATTATGCTTATTCAAAAACATGAAGAGTGAACGTCAGAATTTAGGGTCACAAAAAACAGCATTTTTACCTTTTGGTTCCTATTTATTTTTTTCCTCTTTTAAAAAATTTTTGCACACATTTTTATTTCATATGATACTTATTCAAAAATATTTTTTTCTTCTGAGATCAAGTTCTATAATGGCTGCTACTGAGTTCCAAATATTTAAATTTTTAGTGATTTTTTACACAAAACTAAGAAAAAATTTAGGCAGTATACTAAGTCACACACGGAGAAAAAAATTCTGGTAAAATTACCTATTGTGTGGTAATGATATTTCTGGTAAAAAAAAAAAGCTATAATTCTTATGAGTAAAACTAAAATATATGGTATTTAAATCATTCATTTAATAATTTTCCCGTTCACATGGTAATGGTTCACCGGAAAGTTTGGTTTTCAAAATTAAAATTCTTATTACCACACATTTAGTAAAAAATACAAAACTGAAAAAGGTAAATTTAACTAAATAAATTATTTCCCTGCCATGCTCAAAGGTGTCTTGATAAAATTAAGAAATTTCACCACATTTATCAAATTTTATCAGTTACTGTTAAACCATATTTTATTGCTAATTTTACCAAAATCATTACCAAAACTCTTCGGTAAAAATTACTTCGATTTTTGGTGTTCCCACAGAGCGAGAAATACAATAAATTTTGCCACATTCTGGTAGTTTTGACCATGCTATTTTTCTCAGTACACTTTCTTCAAAAGTTACTTTGTTTTCAGATAGGTATTATACAATTTTCCGGAACATACGGTAAATAATAGCACAGTACAAAGAAACATCTTATTGCTTACATTGAAATTGCAAAGCTTTTAATCGAAAGCGATTTCTTGAAAAAATTGAAAATGTGACTTTTTAATTTATTGCCTCAAGCTGAACGGCTAATTCTCTATTTACTAAAAAATGCATAAATATTTCAAAAATCTCATCTACCTAGCATGTTGTGCTTTGAACATAACTTGCATTGAAAATATTTAAATTATTACCTGATATTTATTAATAAGGAGATTTAAAAGTCAATATAATTTTTAAAAAAATATCTTTAACTTGAATGCTGAGCTTTTAAGCAGAAGAGAGCAAGTAAATTAATTTTTCTTCCATATGCTTCTAACTGAACACGAGCACATAAACATAACCTCAATTGAAAATAATTTAAATTATTACCTGATATTTATTAATAAGGAGGTTTAAAAGTCAAAATAATTATTAAAAAAATATCTTTAACTTGAAAGCTGAGCTTTTAAGTAGAAGAGAGCAAGTGAATAATTTTTCTTCCATATGCTTCTAACTGAACACGAGCACATAAATATAACCTCAATTGAAAATAATTTTAATTATTACCTGAGATTTATTAATAAGAAGATTTAAAAGTCAATATAATTATTAAAAAAATATATTTAACTTGAA